CTCTAAAACTCGATGAAAATTTGTATTATGTGTATTACTGAAACTATGCGATAGAACTCTAGCAGAAGAATCGCTACGCACTGGACTATATGAGTCATTAATAGGTAAGTCAATACTGATTGAGAAAGAACTATGAGTATTTTCAGTATCTGCTTTAGTTTGACATATATTTTCATCTAGCTTTACGTAGACAAGAGGTTTGCATTTATTAGAATCTATAATAGTAACAGTCAATTGAGATAGACGAAGATTTGAAAATTTGTTTCCTAGACTATTACAAGAGTCCACATAAAATAACTTGTTTGATGTAAACTTGTCAAAATTAGCTGTGAATTAAAATTATAACACATATTTGGACATTTAAAACATATAGGTGGGGATAAGATTATGACATTAATGTGAATTATTAGTTTAATAGTTTCCTTGATATGTGACAAATTGGGCTTTTTGAAGTTCTCTTCTCACCGTTTCCAATATCATAATGATACTGCTTGAATTTGGGACACCCTGTATATATTTTCAAGTGCTATTTTTATCTTATTTATGTTTGGCAAAAAAAATTCCTTGTTGTGTAGAAATTTGTTTCCCAGTGTATTAAAAATAGTTTGAAAAAACATTTTTTGTCCTTGTCGAATTGTGGTCTCTCCAAAGTGGCGTCAACATGCATGCGCAAAGCAGTTGTAGACAAATCTATAAGAGAGTTTTGCTAATCCTCCGCGAGCTAATAAGAAATCACACTGTTGAAAAAATGCCATGTGATCTTTCATTTGAAGTTATTAAACTGGTCCGAGAACAGGTTTCTCTTGTAAAAACTATGTAGATTTATTTCTAATATATTATGCAGTAAAAAAAAAGTGTTTTGTTGTTTGTAAAAAGTGTCCCTAAAATTTGATACCCTATTAGTGTTTATTGACTTAATGCAGAATTTTTCTTTTTGTACATACACAAATACCAAAAATGTTCTTTGCTACTCACCAGCTTTAGAAAAGGTTTTTTTCTAAAAGTATGCGTAAAACGTCACTTTCCCGCACGCATTTTAATTCGGAAACTATCTTTTTCCGGCAAAATACTTGGAAATACATAGAAATACTTGGAAATACTTATAAATACTAAGAAAAGTATTTGGAAATACTAGGGAATACTTGGAATTACTTAGAAATATTTAGAAATACTCGAAAATTCATTGAAATACCGTAAATATTAAGAAAAATGAAAATCGGTGTACAAATTTTGGTAGGTGAATAGCCCCTCGATTCTAATGAAATAAAGAATCTCATGACTACATTGTATGAGAACAGCTGTGAAGCAACAGGTAGTTGAGAGGAAAAAACCCTATGGTAAAACAAGACGCTCCAAGAAAATTATTCAATAGGGATAAGCGCACGAACGACTGGAGCGAATTCAAAAGAGCCCTAACAGAATTTAACAAAGAACTGAGAAGATCTAAGAGAGAATCCTGGAGGAGATGACCGACGTCCCTCAGATAGTGTGCCTCCAGAGAATTCTATCATCACTCAAACTGTTGGAAATATAATTTAGTTCTCTCTTAAATATTACCTTTCATTCACTTGATTCGCCCTATTTGGTAGCACTTGATAATTAATCAACAAATGGTCCTTGGATGCTTTTAAAGAACAGTTCTATGGAAAACGAACAAAAACTAGAAACATTTACCAAAAATTTAGGACTTGGTGAACGCCTAAGAGCCAAAATAATTGACGGAAGAGTTCAAGAACCTAAAAACTCAAATATTATGAAAGAAAATCAAAGTAAGGTAAAGTACCCAGTTGTTGACATGTTAAGGGTATCCTTGCTAATGATCACCACACATTTTCCAAATTTTCAAACCCAAGGCTTTGATATATTTTTTGGCGTGATTTCAAACTCATAATTAAATGTTTAGATATATTATTTACCCCATATTCCTATTATTTGTGTTATTATGCCAAAAATACCTGAAAGGTGATAAAACCCCAATAGTTGACACCCAAAAAAGTTCACTTCGCCAAAAGTTGACACATTTTTGGTCCAAAGACATATATTTTTTTACAAAACCAAATTTTTACTTTTAAGAAATTTTATCATGGTCTGTGGAACTAAGAAGTATATTTTTCTAAGTGTACAAATTTTTAAGTGAAATATATGCACATAATAACCAATTATTTTAATTTTTTAAAAATATATGTTGTGGTTCCATTACTTGACACTCTTGAAACCAATAGTTGACATGTTGCCTGTATCAGTAGAAACCCTGATAGAAACATCAATAATGTAAGAATCAAACTTTTTATTAATAAAAAATAACATTGGAATACTTTTTGTTGGGAAAAAAATACAAATTTCAATTCCAAATTGCTAATAAAAGAAATTGCTTGGAAAGCATTGGTACATTGTGTTTTTTTGCTGATGTAGCTACAGTTAACCTCCTATAGCAATCATCCAACGCAGCAATCATATCTTCTGGTATTTCTGGTGCATATTTCAGCAATTACCATTTTTTATAAGCGATCTCTTGATTTAAACTTGAAAGGACTAATTGTTGACACTCTAAAGCTCCAAACATTAACAGGGGTGTCATCTACTGGATCTACGTCCGTTACATTCCCCAAACCCATATCTAGGTTTCTTTTTAATCCAGACCAATAAAAAGACACAGGCTACAATGTTAAAATATTTTTACCGCCAAAAATCCATAAGTTGACACTAGTGTCAACATTTGGATCACCCCTCGATTTGGGCACCAATAGTTGACATCCCCCCTTAAAAAGTTTATGCCAGTTGTTTAAGAGATAAAACAATAATATGTATTACAATGTATCTTATTATACAGTAAATATATATTATTCATAAATTATCAACCCTACCTTAGCTTTGAGAACTTTTGTTTTTATATCTTCTTAACTACTTTCACTAGAAATCTTGAAAAAAGTTCAAAAAATTGCACCTGTTTACTACTTCTTGCCACCATTTTGAAAAAACTTGTGATTTCAAATCCATACATCAGCTATAGCACACAAGATGGCTTTAAAAAAACTATAAGCTATTTCAGTTAGCTTAAAACCTCTATAAATTCTTATTTTCGAGAATAATATGCTGATGTGTCAACTTTTGGGACTCTGTCAACAATTGAGTACTTTACCTTAGTATCTAAATCTGCTATCATACCAACTACCAATCGACAAAACCACGATCTGCGAAAACGTTAATCCGTAAGAAGCAGTGAAACAGAAATCAGAAGGAACCAAATTGAAATTATTGAGATAACAAGAAAGAAAAAAGACTTAGAGTACAGACACATACAGGAAATGTTAGACACGGAACTTGCTATGAAACTCGCAAAAATAGAGAAGAAAGAAGCAGCTGAGAATTTTTAGTCAATAGAACTTGAGTCAGACAAAATTCACGGACCTAATATAAACCAATGGATTGCCGGACAGTGCCCATGGAAAGACAGATCAGATTGTTCCTCAAATTTAAGTTCAAAACCTAAAAGCCCCACAAACAAGTCAAATTTTTCACCTTCATATCACGTTAAACAAGGAGAAGACATGGTGAGTCAACCTTTTGCTAATTATTTAGTTTGAGGGGTCTATGGTCAGTTGGTCAGGGTCTATTGAATGGCAATCTAATGGAAAACGGACTATGATGGTAAAAGGCGTTCCGCGACTGATTAAGTAATTATTCACCGAAACTAACATTAAATGGGCTATAACAGCTTCCAGCCCTACAAATCACCTGGTGAAGATGGGATCTTTCCCGCTCTTCTACTACAGGATCTGGGAGAATTCGCACCAAACCTAGTAAAAATATTCAAAACTAGCTACAAATTAGGCTACATTCCCACCAGTTATCTTCATTCCAAAGGCAGGTAGGCGCCCTACAGCTCTGTCCAGACTGATCATACAACACGCTACTGACGTGAAGTTTCTTCAAACCCACAAGCATACCACAACGTAATAATTACTATACAGGGTGACTGGTAAGTAGACGTATTCCTTTGAGGAGGTGAAAGTAGAGCCCATTTGCTACCGATTAAACATCATTTACCTCTATACCATTCTCAACAGTTTTTGAGATATTTATTCTTTTTTAATTTCCAAGAAATTCGCTCCTTTGCCCGGTAAATATTTAAAATTAAGGAAAATAATAAAAGCCATTTTAAATGTCGCTTTTTAAATTATAAGCTAACACATTTACACAAATATTAGCATTGAAAATTATTGAAACAATAACATAAACTATTAAATTATTTCGGTTTAAACTTAACTTTCCTTGTCAAGTTACAAACTAGTGGTTACTTTATGCTTAAAAATTTCGAAAATTTCATGGTACATCAAACGTACAAATTATTAATAAAAGTTCTCGATATAATTGTCTTCAGAATAAGGCACATTATTTCAGAATTAGTCTTCTGTTTTATTATTAAATAAATAAGTTTTATTTGTAAGAGTAACCAATATGAAGAAAAAATTACTCGATTTGTTTTTAATACCACGTGTTACAATAGAAATATTATCAAATATTGGTGTTAACATTTACCTAAATAAGTTATGTTCCTTATTATTTCGTTAATTTTAAATATTTACCTCCCAAAAAAGTGAATTTTTTGAATATAAAAATAAAAAATATCTCAAAAACCGTTGAGAATGGTATAGAGGTAAATGATGTTTAATCGGTAGCAAATGGGCTCTACTTTCACCTCCTCAAAGGAATACGTCCACTTACCAGTCACCCTGTATAAGTGTAGAAAAAGAAATATGAAATTCTATTTCAGTAAATTTCCCACAAAATGCTCTGCTATATACAACGTGGCCGCTGGACTGAATGAGACGCGGCAGTAAAGAAGATACCCAAACCCAAACCCGAACTGTATTGCAGTTTCACTTCACTGTTAACAGTCTAAGAATAATGCTGGTAAACTCAATATTTTAACAAATGTTTGTATTACTATGTATAGGTATACACTAACTTTCAGAACAAAAATCTTTGAATATAAATACCTGCCCTTAACCAAATCGAAAATATTCCTGTGACTTTGTTCCGCAATGTCCGCAACGTCGCCCCCGTCTTTCTCGTGCTGGTCAGGAGCCGCAGGATGTTCCGCATCGGCCACCATATTGCAGGAAGCCTGCTGGGGCAGAGCCCAAACGCTGCGGGCTATGCCGGGACTGGGGAACACCTTGTACAGCAGCGTAGTGGCTGTAGGGGGCTCCAGGAGGGACAGGATAACAATTTTAATGGGGCCAGCAGGTCCTGCTGACGCTTAACCTCAGTTTTCTTGTTTGCAGGGTGGGTATTGATTTTTTTTTGGGATTGCGTTTTGTAGTAGAGAGTTTGGCGCAGGATTTTTGGAGGGATGTTTATTCAGGAGTGGATTACGGATGAAGTGATACACGCTTTTACATTTTCTTGTTAGCAAAATATGATTTTTTTTTCGGTAGATTGATAATTAATTTCTGAAATACAGTCTACAATAAAAACTGTAAATGCTTATTGTTATTACTTGTTTGATGATATGTACTTGCATTGCGTTAAGGGCCTAATCCACGTTGAGATCGGTATCGATATATGTTTTCAGTATCAGTATCTGAATACAAATCTCACTGTGTATTTGTCTGTCTCAGTATCGCTGTATTGGTATCAGATGGTATCGCCCTCTGTATCACCACAGTATCGCGCTACTAAAATATAAACAGTGTTGTTTCCAATATGGAAGATCGTGAGTTTTGGGAGGAATTTTTGAATTTATTGATTCAATTGAACTGATGTTTCCTGAGCTCATCTCAACGTGTTGGAGCAATTGAAGCATGGATAGAAATCTCAGATACATGTAGCACTGCCTGTCGCGAAACATATATCCATACCGATCTCAACGTGAATGTTACCGTCTAATGTCTATTCCTTGTTGTTTTTTAGACCTCTAGATGCTACATCATTTGATTATTAACTTTCTTAGTGTAATATAAAAGTTTGGCAACTTTTGGAAATGAAGCTTTATTCAACAAAAACTGTAGGTACACAACTTTTTGACCAAATAACTAAACCAGAACTTATAAAATGACAAACAGTTAAAGGAAATAAATATAGTTTATAACAATCTACAGAGAATTATGTAACATTTTCCCCGTATTTCTAATTTTGAACAAAATTTTCTAAATACTTTGTAGGTCTTCCAAAATTTTGTAGGTTTTTTACTTCTTATGTAGATTTGCTGATTTTCAGTAGATGTTGGAATATCTTCAGTCTGGTATTGAGATGTGCTTGATGGTTCCCCAGTTAGAAGTAATCATACCCCTCTCTAAATTCGAGTTTTGCAAATGATGCATCGACATTTGCATCAACTGTCTTTTTTTCTTGTAATATAGCTAAAGACTACCTACCTCTGAGAGCAAGGTGCTTTAAAGTTAAAAGAAACATTTGGTTCTCTTCCACTCGAAAATTGTATTAGCTTCTATAAACTCGACTTCAACTACTATTGGTTCATATCTGCTTTGTCTCACTTATCTTCCAACAAAAACTGGTCCTGGATTAGATAGCCAGCTTGGTATAGCTTTCCCAAAACGTGCAATATCATTATTGATCCTTTGAAATTGAGAAATAGTCTCAGATCTTTTTTTTTTTTTTTTATTTCCAAGTAAATCACAGGATATAACAAAACAATATATAAACTTAGGGGTTGTTTAAGACCTAGAGCGCGAGGCTATATGGGTCATTCAATATAATATGTTAAATCTACGTGAGGCTAAATGTATCTATGTTGACTTTGTTTTGAAACAAATTTAAGGTAGGAGAAAGAGAAAAAAAGATAAAGAAAAGAAAAAGAACAGTAAGTGCATCTCAATAGTGCGTACAAAAAAGTAACAATAAATGTATCAGGAAATTTTTCCTTGTTGTCATACTATTTATGCAGAGAAAAAGTTGCTGTAGATTAGTTCTTTGAGTCTCTGTTGAAAGGGCGTTATTCTGCGACATTCTTTCACATTTTGTGGGATCTTGTTGTATATGTTCAAGCCTTTTGACATCATGCTGCGTTGTCCACTAGTGGTTCTTGTAGCTTCTGTCCTCAATGTTTGGTTGTTACGGGTGTTGTATTGGTGGATTTGGTTAACAGTGGTGAGAGTGATATTGGAATGAATGTTTGATATTTGAATGTTGTGGATAAATGTGCACGTTTGAAATATGTAAAGTGAATTAATGTCTGCAGTCGGAAACAATGTAGGCAATTGAAAAAGTTTCTTGAGGGCTCTGTTCTGGAGAACTTTTAGGGGTTTCAGGTGGTTGGCAGTTGCATTTCCCCAGACAAGCGTTAGGTATGAGAGATGGCAGTGGATAAGAGAATGATAGACCATTTTGTGATGGGGAGGACACAGGAACCTTGACACCCTACCCAGGATTCCTACCGCTGGGGAAATTTTTTGACATATTTTTGAAATGTGAAATTCCCAAGTGAGTTTATGATCAATGAGCAAGCCAAGCACTTTTATACATTCTTCTTTTTTGAACTTGTATTCACCCAGGTCTAGCATTATATTTCGCCAGTTGATGTTGTTTGATATAGTCATGTAGCTGCATTTGTTGATGTTCAGTGAAAGCTTGTGGTAGCAAAGCCAGTTGTGGATTTTTGTTAGGTCTTCTTTTATACTCGTTTGTAGGGCTGTGTGATCATTTCCAGAGTACAGAAGACATGTATCGTCAGCATATAGGCATACCTTGGAGCTTAGGTCAAGTTTAGAGATGGAGTTCATATAAACAAGGAACAGAGTGGGTTCCAAAATCGATCCCTGTGGCACGCCTAACGTGACCATACGTTTCGTTTTCAACGGGACCGTCCCTTATTTCAGCTCTCCGTCCCGGTGTCCCCGAGAAACGCTGCAGGACGTAAAATTGTCCCGTTTTTCCAAACCCCGCGTAAAAAACAAAATATTAGTGTCATATATGTTATATGCTTAAATTTCACTCCAGTCAGGACTAGAATGTTTGGTCAATGCAATGGGTCAATATCTCACCTGGTTCTCGAACGCACCCCTGCATCTCCAACGCACCCTTGGATCATGGGTCTTTTTGAAGGTCGTGAGTTCAGAATGGACACTTGCTACTATTTGATAAATTAGTTATGTCAATCTAAACGTTCAAGGCTTCCTTAAGAGAGGCGTCAGATAGGAGCCAGCGCGCTATCTTTTAGGCTTTATGTCATACATTAAATATTTTTTAATCACAGGTGTTCAAATTCTCTGTAAGTGATTGACTTTTTTATAAATAGATGGGGACATCTTCAATAAGACAGTAATTTACAGTGGACTAATAATTTTATTCAGATGCAAATGAAATAATAGTATTTCACATTTCTAGCTAGTTTCTACTAGTTTTTACTGGCGTTTAAAAGAAGTGACTACCTATCCCGAACTCAGCGACATCTTTGAGAGAAGCGCTGAACACACGTTTGGTTTGAGTCTCTGCTAAAAATGACAGCAATCAACTGCTTGTTTCGCACTTTTTGCAGATTCTGATTAATTTTGGAATAAAAACATCATAAATTTTCGGCAATAGGGAACTTGCAAGTGAACTAAAATTTTCCAAATTTGTTTTAAATCGATAGTTTATACTGCACAATATTTATATGACCAGTTTTTATTTAACTGATACCGCCCTTGTTACACAAAAAGTGATACTAAAGGCAAAGTCAAGAAATGGAGTCAATAATTAAGTCCTTATTACTAATTGACGATATTATGTTTGAAAACACCCTGTATATTCTAATTTCCAAGTTTTATCGAGTCAAGCATAGTAGTCCCTTGAAATATATATTGCGAGAAAGTCATGAGAGACAGCTTATAGACCATAATGCGAGATCTGCCATTTTTTGATATCCTCCAATAACAAAAAAACCTCAGAAAAAAACTCACTTTTACAGATCAAAACAATCACAAATGAATCTGAGGTTAGAATTTTTCAGTTACTCAACTCTCTACTTGGGTATCAAAAACAATAACCGTGTTATAGAATGATGACGTTACTTTATGACTGCAAAACACCTTCCCCTATTACCGTTTTCTCGCAAAAACGGATCGGTTATTGATTTCCTGTAACCGCTTGTAACACGGGAACTAACGGGAACTCGCTAAAAAATGCCTTAAATTTGAAATAAAAAGTTTCGCACCAAAACAATGCTTCCATGATGGCTACCTTTTTGACGTCACGATTCTGTAAACAAACCTGTCAATAAAAAACTTGCAAATAAAAAAAAAGATACAAAAGCAGTCCTTTACAATATTCTTCATCCATTGGGACAATTTTCACAATAAGCAAACTCTAACACACTTGAATAACACAAAAGCTCTTCTGCTGCGTATTTGTTGTTTACAAAATCTTAACGCCACAAGCGCTGTCATATTGAGATTTCGTGTTTTCGCGCCAAAGTTTTTGATTCAAATTTCAATAATTTTTTTTTCGTACAAGATATAAATTAAAATGGAAAAAAAAGCAAACTATGTAATAACTGATCACTAAAAGTATCTAAAAAAAATAATTTGAGAAATATGAAAATTCCCTATTCTGTTCTATTCATTTATTCCAGCAATTGACAATCCGAAATTTTAGAAATTTATTGTTGGCGAACTACTCTATATGTTTATCCCTTTTTCATTTAAATCCATGACCAAAATTTGCATATTGTTGTCAAGAAAATTGTCAATAATTCTACTATTTAGACTGCGTATTTTGCAACAAAAAATGGAAGAACAACTACACCAATTTATATTGTTATAAACATAACTTCATTTTACTGAAAAGTGGTCTAAATTTGGAATGGCAGGTAATCTTGACAGTTGAGTTGAAGAGGGCGCTTCTGTACTTGGAGTCATTTAAATTTTGGCGCGTAAATAATTGATTGTAATATTAACCCCAAAATTTAAGTCTGATGTGTGCATTGAGGTAGAATAATAAGGAGACGCTGTCATCATTTGAATAGTGCAATAGAAAACGGCATCGGTAGGTGTGGCTAAGTGTCGAAACAATATGGCTACTTAAACAGAGCCGAACTAAATGGATTCTTTATAATTTTTATCGAAAAACGTAGAAAAATCGAGGTTACACCTAGAAAGAAAAAGTTGCTACAGAAGCTTCAATATACTGAAACAGGAAATCCTTCCAAGACCCAAAATAGGCATTCTGGGCTTCAAAAATTGAATCTCAGACAGAAGTGTCGTAACAATATGGCGGAAGTGGATACGGTTTTTCTCCTCATGTCACCTGCTTATTATTCTACCTCAATGGATGTGTGGTTCCAAGACAAGCTGACGCTGACACTTTTAAAAATATTCTCTAGGGACACTGAATGCTTTGGAAGATATTTTAACTTATTCATTGTTCATTGTTCATATTGTAGTCATCTTTCTTTCTACTCTATTTAAACGAATTAAAACATGACATTTACTGCCAAAAGTTGAAGCACTCCAAGTTCACTCGTGCCCTCTACAAAATTTTGGAGAACTTAACTGGATATTTGCTGCCATTGAACAGAAATTTGTGAAGGTCTGTAAATGACATTTTATTTAAACGCCCCTCTTAAAGTTGTTGCTCACTGGAGCGCAGCGCACGGCAGCGCGGCGGAGAGGACTTTTTAAATACATTGTTTTAAACAGGAGTACGCTCACTTGTCAGAAGCGCACCGATCGGTAGACTCCCATTTAAAACAATGTATTATAAAAAGTCCTCTACGCCGCGCTTCCGTATGCTACGCTCCAGTGAGCGTCTGCCTTTAAGGTGACTATAAATTCTACGTTCTTCTATGATAGTTTACAAGCTAAATACCCGTTCACAAGCAAAGAAATACTCTCTCGGATGTCAAATACGGAAAATGTCGCACAGAATTTGCGTGTTTCCCATTGTCCCCCATCCTTGTTTGTCCCGTTTTGAGTCCAAAAATAAATGGCCACGTTAGGCACGCCCCATGTGACATCAGCAGCCTTGCTCAGTGTGTTGTTAATACAAACGTGCTGAATTCTTCCTGTGAGATAGTCCCTCAGCCAGGCCAGTTCCATACCTTTGACTCCATTCTGTTCAAGGGTGGATATCAGAATATTGTGGTTGACGGTGTCAAAGGCCTTCCGTAGGTCTAGGGAGACAAGTATGCACTATGCAGTTGGAGCCTTTATCCAATTTAGAATAAATATCAGTTACTAAGTCTGTGGTGGCTGATATTGTACTAGACCCTTTTCTGAACCCATACTGGTATTTAAAAAATATATTTGAGGATTCAAAATAATTCACCAACTGGTTATTCATGCACGATTCTAAGATTTTTGAGAGAGCAGGCAGAATTGAGATAGGACGGTAATTGCTCGGGAGTCTCATATCATCTGCTTTAAAAATTGGTACAACTTTGGCCCTTTTTAGAAGGTTGGGAATACAGCCCGTAACAAAAGTAAGATTGGTAAGTTGGCACAAAAGAGGAGCCAGTTCGTTCTTGAATTCCTTTAGAGTTTAGAATATTGGTGCTGAAGTTGTCCAAGCCGGGAGACGCATTTTTTTTTCAGTTTCCCAATAATATCTTCAATAATTTCGATAGTCACCGTCTGGAATTGGAAACTTGTATAAGCAGGTGTAGGGTCATCAGGCAGATATTGTACTACAGGGATACTGTCTGCAAGTGTGCTTCCTATTTTAGAAAAGTATTCATTGAAAATGTTTGAGATGTCTTTGGCATTTGTATAGGTCTTATTGTTGTCTTCTATTTCTTGTATTGTTGTTTTTACATTTTTCGGTCTCGAATTGCGTATGATGCTATTAAGTACTGCACATATTTTTTTACTATTGCCATCGGAGTTTTTCAATTGATCGGAGAAGTATGTTTGTTTTGCCAGGTTCATGGCAGTAGATATTCACTTCGAGGAAATTGCTTGTGCCTTTTATAATGGAAGTCTCTTTTCTTCACAAGATCGTACAAATGTCCATTGAACCACGGAGCACTATTGGGTCTGAATCTGTCTTTAAATGTATTGGTTGTCAGATTGCTTAGAAAAGTTCTGAGGGTCATTCCATTGTTGGCGACTTAATTCGTCAAGTTTCCTCTTAAAATTTGCTTTATTTAGCACTGTTACTGAATAGTGTTTTTTCGGTTCTATCAACTTATTAGATATAATAGGTATTTCACAGCTGTGTTTTATAGTCACTGATTGGATCATCAAATATTGAAAGTTTTAAAGCTGAGTTTAAGCAGTCTGTTATTACATAGTATATTATAGTGTTAGAGAAAGATGACACTCCTTGTTGGATACTTTTTGTTCAAGATTTGGAAACCATTTGATGTGATAGTGGTATTTAGCATCTGTTGTTGTACGTTGATTTTGGAAAAATCTATATTAAGATCACCAAATATAAATGATGATTTTTTTTGGCTGCTGACTCTGTAGAAAACTTCATCAAGAATATTCAAAAGTTCATTATAGAAATAGTCCTGTGGTCTGTAAATTGCTCCCAGTATTAAGGAGTTATTTATTAACAAAAGTAGCATGGAGCATGTTGTTTCATATGTGTCCAGTATAGCATATTTGTGATTTTCCTTTAGAAGTATACCAACTCCTCCACCGCGTTTGTCTCTGCTCACGTAAACTGAGTTGTAGCCAATTAGATTGAAGAAATTTTCTTCCCCTGGACAAAGCCAAGTTTCTGTGATGACCACAGCATCAGGAACTTTTACTTTATTAACAAGAATCTCCAGATCGGGCAGTTTATTCCTAATTGACTGGACGTTCAGGGACAATATGCTGAAATTGTTATTATCACTATTACATTCAGTTAAATCTAATTTTTGTTCGACTTCTATTTTTAGATAACTATCCATGAATTAGATCGTTTATGATATTTTCGTTAACAATAAGTATGGCTCTTGCATCATCATCCCTTTTAAAGTACACTCTGCCATTCTTGGTCCAGCAATATTTGTATTGTTTTTGTTTCTTTAATTTATATGCTAGATTAAAGAGGTTTCTATTTTGGAAAGTTAGTTGTTCATTTATGTATATTTTAGTTATATTGGGCTTGCCCTGATTATGTCTTAACATGTCTGAACAAGATTTCGCTTATTTCTCAGCTTCAGGAAGTTATTTTTATGCTCAACCTTGGAGAATTTTACAATAACTGTGGTACCCACCTTTATGAAAACATCTTCGAATTTGCGAGAATATGAATTTTCGCAGACAATCGTTGCATCCATTTTGAATAGTGAGAAAGCATTCCTAGTACCCTATGCATTGATTGATTGTTATCTATCTAAAACAGATTGATTTTACAAACATTTCAATCTTAATGGATCTGGTGGTATAGTGCCATTTTCTATCAGATAACCAAGAAGTCTTACGGTTTTGATCGAAAATATCCTTTTTTTTTATTGTCAAGATACATTTATTTATAGCTGTTTCTCCAGATTACGTTACTATTGTGTGACTCCACAGATTGCCACTTCATCTAGGTAGGTAAAAAATCCATTAAATTTTCACATCAAATAATTCCACCGATAGCTGTTTGGAAGCAGGTAACTTCAAATGAAACACGATGAATTGATAAAGTTGCCTATAAGCGTCAAAACCATTAAAGAAACGTATTATTTTTTTTGGATTGGTGAGTATCTGATGATCTATATAGTACTAAAAAATCTATAATTGTTTCTGCAGATCCTGATATACCTACCACCCCCGGAAACTAGATTCTTGAGTTCCTGATTTATACAAAACAAAATATAAATAACTATCAGAATCATGAAAATGGCCAATGATTATGATACTAGAAAGAAGGACAATATTAACTTGGACTTCTTAGGATTGGAAAAATCAAGAAATTAACTCCCTAGATTTGAAACTTTTTGAAAAAACAGTCAAAAAGCTCCTTATAACCAAAGTCTTCTATAGCATAAATGACTTTCTTATTCCATGGATTAGGTAGGTACTGGAATTATTTCACCACAGTATCTACAACAAATTGCCATTTACAGTACAGACACATCTTAACAATCTTAATCAATTTAATCAAACCTTATATTACCAGTCGGCCTGTTCCTTAGGCTCATGCAGTCGTTTATCTATTATTTCAGTGAAAGCCTTTAAATTAAACAGATCCAATTTCAGGTCGCTGGCAAAAATATTAAAAAGGTTATACATACCTCAGAGTACATACTATACATAGGAGACGTCATAAGAATTTGTTCGAGGAAAATTTGAATAGAATACCTTCTTCTGTCTTGTGCCACCCACTGCAGTGACTGTATCCTTGTGAAGGATAATATCCATATCTTTTAGGAAACATATGTTTCAGGAATTTCCTCAGAATTCTTTCCAATGACTTACTCCAGACCTCATATAGAGGTGACCAGATAATGCTTGCATACTCCAGTTTGGACAGCACCAGACAGTCAAACAATCTCACCTCCACATCAAAAGCCTTGACAGTTCTGATTATGAATCACATTGTCCTGTGTGCCATTAATTTTGCTTACAATATGTTCTATAAAGCCCAACCTCTCATCCAACAAAATACCTAGATCTTTTTGAGTTGTTTCACCTCTGACAATGGAGTCATTAATTCTGTATTGAAACAACGTTGGGTTCTTTTTGAGTGTAAATGTAATTTTTGCACATTTATTCACGTTAAAATTAAAACCGTTGTACCTACACCAGTCAACAACCCTACTCAAATCTCTCTGCAGACACACATTCATGCTTACTAGTCACATTTAAAAACACTTTAAGATCAACAGCATACAACAAGGCATTAGAATTTTTTAGGCCAAGACAAAATGTCATTAATAGCTATAACAAATAACAGTGGTCCCAGTATTGACCCCCGTGGGACACCAGAACTGGAGGAATATATTTTGGATTTGGCTCCCATGATTTCGACATACTGTTTTCTCCTCTCATGTATGATGTTATTAAGTTTGTGATTTTGGTTTAAAAAGTGAGTTAATAATTACCCTATGTTTAATCTTATCGAATGCCTTTTCCATGTCAGTATAAATCACATCAACCTGTCCTCTATTGTTCAAAGCATCATGAATAAATTAGTATCCAAGCTGGCATTCAACAATGCTGTTTTTGAATACTACCTTGATCATCTCACATGCCTCACACGCCTAACTCAAATTATACAGATATAACAAAGGCAAGTTCAAACAGGCAACACAATCCTTAAGGATAAAGTCTGGAAGTCCATCCGGTCCTATTTCCCTATTACCTTTCAATTTTCTTGCTGCAGTTTAGATGGTCAGATTAGGTTTCTACGTGTCTACAATCTTTTAAGGGAGCCAAAAGCTTACCCAGGATGAATCTTTTTCTTTGGTTGTGAGTGCAGGTTTTTCTTATCTCAGTAAATTTCATTTAATGTATTTGTCCCTTATACCCATGTATAATGAAATAACCTATATAGGTAAGCATGCATATTATGTATTGACTTGATCTTTGATCTCTTCTGCTTCTAAACTAAACATAATATTTAGGTATTAACCTTTTGTTTCATTAGTAGAAATAATAAAATATATCTATATAAGTGCAGTACTTCCTCCGATTATCATTTTTACACATTCAAATTTAAACACAATCCTTGTTCGTTATCTTATTTTTATTTAATTTACATAGTCAAATAGAACAAATTAAAGACAATGCTCTACAAGCGCATAACAAATAAAAATTTCAGATCTTACTCGAGGCAACTCAACTTATCAAGCTTATCAACAACAGTTTATTGAATCTCTATACTAAATTAAGTATAAAATTAAATTAAATTTATCACAATGTCGTATTGTTTTCATAGAATAATCAACAGACACAGAACAATATTTTATTCACAGGTATTGCATCTAAATATCATAAGATTATTTGAGATTTCAGTGTCTGTGATTTTTATACATTTTTTTTCTATACCATTACAATAAAGCCTAAATGAGGTAACAACAAAAATCGTTAAAAAAAAAAATCGAGCCTAATAATACTTGTAAAGAGTAATATTAGTTTAAGGCGATAGCTAATTTTCATTAAAAATCCATCACCAAAATTTAAATAATTAATTAAAGCTGCAAACATACTAGTGGACAAAATGATCAAATATTATGTGAAAATGATTATAAATATGATAAAAATACTTACTTAGTAAACAATGATAGATAACTATAAATGACTTAAAATATTTGACGATTTTGTCCATAATGTATGTTGCTTAAAGCTTGCTTCAGTGAAAATCTGTAGGCACAATAGATATTTAATTTTAAACATTATAAATATTTATATTAAAAATAATTTGAGCATTTTGTTTGTTTGAAAGAAATCTAATACTTATTATTGTCTTGAGCTGCATATACACTGAGCCTGTATTTGCTGTTTAAAATCTCAAAAAACACATATACTATGAGAAATCAGAATGCTTGGTGTATACACAGCTTTTAGAGTATTTGATCAAAAATACTAAAGACCTCATGTAAATAAAACATTTCTAGTGAGCCGCTACCATACACAGATTAGGGGTGCTGTGGTGGAGACGATGACAAATTCGATGATCTCCTTTTCAATAAACACTCACCGTCTGCTTCATCTCCTTTCTGTATACTTATTGAACGAACCAAGTTCTGTCTGAACCTAGAAAATATCAATAATTCATATGATTTCTTAGTAGAACTATTTATTTTTTCAGCAAAAGCAATAAGCCTGAAAAGTGTAGGCCTGAACTCATTTTAGCTTACAGGTAGGTATTCCTAATACTAAATAATATTTCTTGGGGTTCCAAAGCAAACAAAAAGCAAAGCTGTTTAAAACCAGATTATATCTATTACCCAGAAAACTGCTATCCTTCTTCAGGTACTTTAGATATAGGACTAATAATCATATTAAGCCTTGAAAGAGAGAACATTAAATTTATTAAAGCCCAATGTACCACTATAATCCCTGATCAAACCAAAAAAACCCACCTGCTAAGTCTTTCTTCATCTCTTTTCTTCTTTAAGTTCTCAAATTCGTCATCTTCCTCATCTGTAGCAGATCCGATGCTTACTTTATCATGGTCAATTGTATCGCCGCTTGGAGCCGAACCACCCATCAGAGGAAATGGATCATAAACATTCTGAGGTGAATAGCTATATAAGAATGAATAAATTCTATTAAATAAAGCCAAGGATATTTTAATTCTATGGTTACTTTGGGTAACTGCTAGTTTGAGGAACATCAATAGGTGTAGACGGCGAAGGAGGTCCAAATACTTGCATCACATTAGGTCGAGTATCATGTGATTTTTGCGAGGTTATCGTCAATTGTTCATCTAGTTCTTCTATGATATCATCAGTTATCCTTCTTACACTGCACGCCAACTTTTTATCTTTATCTTCATTAGAAACTAAATTATTCATTTCGGCGGATTCTATATTTGGTCCTCCTCTTGAATCGTTTTTACTATCGTCTCTGCTAAAGAAACGTTTTAGCATGTTGGTGACTGAAGCTACTTTTGGCATAGACATTGCATCTGAAAAAGATTATAGTAGTTTGTGTAGTAATAACTAAACAGTTCTTACCTGGCACAGAAGCTCCAATATTAAGGCTGTTTGAAGAATTTTTCCTGCTCTTAAAACTAGGTTGCCTGGTGGCTGAGAAAGTAATGGGTCCACTTTGCATATTGTCCATCAGGGAGTCGATTTTTAGTGACGATGGCGATACAAATTCTGGAAAATGGAAATAAAGTTGACAAAAGAAGTGTTTGATATAGAGCGAATCATGCTGAATGTTAAGTATTACGATTTTATAATGCCATCCTTTGCCACTTAGTCTCAAATCATGCGAATTTTACTAACCCATTAAACAAGCTTTATGTGGTGCTATAAAGCTCGTAATCATCTCTAAGAATCAAGAAATTGGACTGCAGAAATTTAATTTTTTGTATGATTATAACATTCTTAATGAACTGAATTTTCTCATAGATAAAGACAGCCTTTCAAGAAAACCAAATACCTTTTTATCAAATGCATTGAAAAAGTGGCTTGCATATTCAACTAATTTTGGTCAGTAAATCTCAAACTAAAGTTAATTCAGGCAACGCCACAACATCAACCCGCTATATTAGTAATTTAGAATTTGCACCAAAAAATCAATTTGTCACCTGTATCTCTGTTACGTTTACGATGTAGTACTAAGTTCACAGTATCTTTAAACGACTTACTTCCTCCTTCAACAAAGAAAAATAGCAAAACCTTAATAAATTAAGTATTTTTGTTTGTAGTAAATCGAATTTTTCACCTTGATCTGCTGGTTTAACGGCAATATTGGCAGTCGAAGGCAACGGATGTGTATTTCTCATGGATTCTGCTGCTGCGGCTGCAGCAGTGTAAGGCAATTCCTGCGGGAATACTTCATCCCAATACTGATCTCTGACTAATTCAGGATGATCGTGGTGCATTTCATCTACTATAAGATAAGAAATCTACAACAAAAGTATGAAAATTGAGCACAAAAACTGGCATGGTTTTTACTTGAAGATTTCTATCGACCATCCAATTGACTTCAAAGTCATCATCGTCGTCTCCAAAGGGGTTTATCAAACTTTCCGCTACTTTGAGCCAGCCCACGTAGAAGAAAAATTGCAGAGTTGCAAAAAATGGAAAATAGAGATCAAAATCGTTTGTGCTACTATTGTTTACCCACTGGTGGCCCATTAATGTCGTCATAAAATAACTGTATACTGCCAAAGTTACCACCTAAAAGTTGTTTATAATAATTTTGTTATTGTTTCAAATATAAATAATCTTGCCTGTGTGTACACTAGAGGGACACTAATAGTATCAAAACTCAGTAGTAACCCACATTGACCTCTGAATTTATTCAACTCGTCTATTAAAGTTTTTACAGCGAAATCATCTCTTATCCTACCTTCTTTTCTCGCTCTTGTAATAATACTAGAAGCCCATACTATTGGTAACCTGAAATACTGATCAAATGTAATATTGACTTCTTTTAAAAGAAAAATATAAGTATGTATACATAATTATTAGAATATTGGGATTCTAAAATAGTAAAAACTGAGTGGAAAAAATTGTTCTTGATTGACAAGTTGTGTATATAATTTCCAGCTAAATATTAGTTGTTTAATCATGTGATGATTGCGCAATTTATTTACGTAGTTTGTAGAATAAATGCAGCTGTTACTACTTAGTAGCTTATTATCCAATAGAATTATTAAATATGATTAAAAAATTATTATTAATATACAGAGGGATAAATCTTGATTGGATTTCTGAGGTGGTTATCAAAATTTAAAACCTTTATGAGGAATTCAAAAGGAAAACTTTGAATTCTCAATTGCCTGCTCGTAGGTATAGATTCTCACTGAAAAAAAGGAAAAAATCGCAGAAAATGCAATGTTATTTTACACCAATTTAGAGCTGTTTCTCTTGATATTCTAAAAGAAAAACACATATATGACAGTTTCGAGATATTTTCTGGGTTTAAATGTAAATTTGAACCAAGAATACGACTCCGGATGGATCTGTATAACTATTTGATCCAATTTAGGTGGTTTTATTTAAAAAAATGGAAGCAGTTACTTAGCACTGAAATCGAGCTTTCTTGAAAGTACATCCTCTAATTATTTACTGGAAAATCTAAAGAAAGGAGATTTACTGAGCTAAAAATTATTGCGATTTGACTGCCAATTGAAAACAAAAAAGCCTCATATCTACACCTAATTATCCAATTTCAGAAAATCTAATTTGCATGATGGGCTTTCAATAGGATTACCCGCAAAGTAATTGAAACAATTAGCTAGTAGGTACGTTGAATAATAGTGTCATTTTTAATATGCCTAAAAATTAAATCAATAACGCTAAAAATCATAAAATTAAATCCAGTTTTACTGCTTTCAAACTGTATCTGCAATTAATCTCCGCTTTAAAATCTTTGAAATAATTGATGCTGGAAATATTTTGCTTTAACAAAAACACATTTTCGTATTGAATTTAAACATCTGCGTCGACAGGATGAAGTGCTAGTTCAGATATTAAAAGTCTTATCAAAATAATCTGAATGTTTAAGTAAATATTTGAAAGAAGATTATGTACCATGAAATCAGTGTCTATAAATATGTATCCATGATAAGTTTTTAGTATACTTTGGGCAAATTATCACTTTAAAAGGATGTGGTTAGACATGTTTATTGATTAAGTATAATAAAAAATGCTTTGGGACAATTTTATGTTTGTAACAATTACTCATATTCTACACCTTAGCTGTCAGGCCTATAATAAAAAATGTAAACTATTTCCACAGTTTTATTGCACATTTTGCCAAATATTTATATTACATATATTCGAATAGTTATTTTTGCGATTTCTGCTTCAACACTTACCAATGCTTAGAATATTTAGGAAACTTTTTATTCAGATTCACCATAATATCTTTTTCGCTTTCGTGCAACAAACCCGCCTCAACAAAATGATCAAGAGTCGGAAATCTCTTTTTAACCCTAGGAGAAATCATCGTAAATGTCATTGTTACACATAAGCAAACGTAGCGCATTATCGTTCTGCGCATAACTCTACCCCTTTCGTCCTAAAATTTAAAAAAACTTGATTTTTTTTTCTGAAAAACTAGAGGGTATAAATACCTGTCCATGAACAGTGGCGCTAACGAAAACGGCCAAAGGGTCGGGAAATGGTATCGCTGTGTATTGATTCCACCATCTGGTCATTACAACAGATACATAAAAACCCAGGACAAACGATAAGGGTATCAGGCTGCCATATTCAAAGCAGTATTTTACTACCATTTCAAAACGTCTAAAAATTAAATTGAAATTATTTGAAAATTTACAAAGTAAGTACAAACTGTTGGCAACTATACCAACCATGATTTACGTAGCCTGTGCATTAGAAGTTGTCCAGTTTGCAGATGGATTAGTAGAAATAGCATCTATCCACCTGCAAGCTAATGCACAGGCTACTTAAGTTTTATATTAATAATTACCGATTTAATTTTTTAGGGCTACTTACACTTTTCCTACTTCATCGAGTACATATCTGTATGTAAAATTCAGGCTGTAGTAGAAAAATAAAAATACTAGAAGGTCAATCCATACTAGTTTATAAATACTGCCTCTCCACCTGAAAAAAAAACAAAAATTTCACCAAATAATAATAACCCTAGGATATTTTTAGTGGAAAATCAAACTAAGAAATTTAACAATTTCAAAATATGTATATCACTATGGTAGAACAATACCTACTACAACAAGTTGAAAAATAATGATTTTTGAAATATCCTGGAAACTCTGATGTAAAAAATTTGCTTTTTCTGGTCTTCTGGAGGTATAATCAGACTTATTAAATCGATTCATTTGAGCTCAGTGTAATGTAGGTATATCTTACTATTATAATATGTGAAATTTACATGGTTTTTGAGCTTGTTTTTCAGTTAATAGTAGGATATATTGAAACGTCTTTCTCTTCTTCTGTTTGGTGAAATAGTAGGAGATTTCAAGATGTCCTGGGCCCGGATTCCGAACTCATGATTGGATAATATCGTCCGTCTATTTTATATAGACTAGACAATACTATCGAATCGTGGATTCGTAAACCGGGCCCAGAAGTTAACTTTTAGTTATCAGCCAAAATAGTTTTATAATACCTGCCCTAAGTCACTTTTGGGGCGGCTATTATAAAACCACATCATATACATAAAACTTTTTTGACAGATAACTGAAAGTTAACTTCTGAAAATACTATGAGTAGTAACGTCATTCCAGAAGTTAACTTTTAGTAGTAATTCTGTCATAACAGTTTTTTAATATCCACCCTGAAGCGTACAGGGAGTGTCAAAAAAGTGTAGCAGTGCGAAGTTATATTATTTTAAATGGAACACCATGTATATTATTTTATTTATTGATACTCATACAAACAGCGTAATGGTAATTACAAGCAATGGAAATGGATATTACATTTAACCAACATACAATTGAGGGAGGAACTACTACCCACTGGTACATAAAAAAAATGTATCTCTTATAACCCTTAAGTTAATTTTAGGTACATGCATAGGAATATAGTTGATTAAGGAACAATTATTGTACTTTATATCATTGATACCATAATAAATAAACCTCGCACACTGTATCTGCCTTCTTTTTTCCAATGGCTGGAATTTGAAGTCATTCAACATGCTTCTATATGAAACTAGATAAGGATATATATTATTTTTTTTTGACATACAAAAACCTTAGAAATCTTTTTCGAATGAGTTCAATGGCATCACAGTGTGTTTTTGCCTGCGGAGACCATACAACAGAAGCATATTCTAAGTGTGAACGAATATGAGCATTATAAAGCTTAATTATGACACCCATATCATTAAATCGCTCTGTGTTACGCATTATCAATCCAAAATATCTATATGCTTTGTTAATAACGTACTGTTGATTAAATTTTAAATTGGTCTTAAAGCACACCCTAAGATCCATGCACTCATTCTTTTTTTGAACCTCATTATTATCAATTGAATATGAAAACAATATAAGATTAGTTTTGTTTGTGAATAACATAACAAAACTTTTTTTAGAGTTACCTAACCATCATTTTATTTCTTCTGAACTAATCAGAAACTAAGTTCAGATCATCCTGAAGTGCAACACAATCATTATCATTTGTAACACACTTAAAAATCTTGAAATCATCTGCAAATAACAGACATTCTATGCTTACAATATCGTTAATAAACATTAAAAACAACAATGGGCCCAAATGATTACCCTGTGTAACTTCAGATATTGCTGGAAAAGCTTGTCACAGGGAAGTGCCAACTCGAACTTTTTGCATTCGCGATTTTAGGTAGCTTTTCATGAAATGGTATGCATCCTTACAGAAATTAAATTCAACAAGCTTACTCAGCAACACCTGATGATCCACTTTGTCAAAGGCCTTCGCACAGTCTATGTAGGTAAATAGTGTCCAGCTGCTTTTTGCTATTGATTGCTTCAAAAGCATTACATGTAAATACAGAAAGGTTGGTCACAGTTGATATACCACAAAAGAAACATTGTACATTGATCATAATATTATCACAGAGAATAATTTCAAATATTTTAGCAATCGAGTTTAAAATACTGATAGTTCGTCAAATAGGCGTATAACTGACAACATCAGTTCTATTTCCAGCCTTAAAGATGGGAAATACTTATTATGGTTGATTTAAAATGATTTGGAAAAGATTTATTTTGGAGTAAAGTATTGAAAATATGTATCAATGGGGCTGCTAGGATATCAGAACATTCCTTATAGATATAAGGGGGAATACTATATTCACCTTCAAATTTTATGGGCTTCAATTGTTTAATGGCATTTTTGACTGTATTCTCAGATATGGATGAGAATGAAAAGTTACCCCATTGCAAATGATTTTCCATATCAAAATAAGAACAAGAAATCCATAAACATCCATAAAATGTGCAAAGGCTTCTGAAATTTAATTTGGCTCCTCTATAGTCAAACCAATATAAGTAATACAAATACATCCTGGTATAACAGGGCTGGAACTCTGCAACGGATAAGGATCGTTATCCCTATCGCTGACACTTGCTGTCTTCTTCTTTCTTGCCGAAATCAATAGAGAGGAGACGTCAATGGAGATAGAGAAAATATCTCTATTCGTTACAGAGTTCCAGCCCAAAATCTAGAATTTACAAACTTCCAATAGTATATTGTTGTATTAGGAGTAGAAGCTTTACTTTTTTGTGCTGAAGCAGTAGGTTTGCGAGCCGAACGTAGTGATGCTTGCAATACTGCTGAAGCACAAAAAAGTGCTTCTACTCCGTATGCAACACACTATTTTTTCTCCAAACTAATGGGGTAAGCTCGAGGGCAAGTGGATGGTTGAGCGGCAGTAAAAGTACGAGCGGCACTAAAAGTACTTTTTCTACTGACGTTTCATAATAGCAACTTTTCGATTGTCATTTCAGTTTTGAAACGACATTCTTTTAGGCACTGAGTGTGTGAAAGTTACTTTTAGGCACTCAGTGCGTAAAAGTGACTTTTGAATGCGTAAAAGTGACTTATGAGTGCGTAAAAGTAATTTTTAAGCACTAGTGCCTAAAAGTGTCATTCATTATTCAGAAATAAAAAACACACTAAACACATATTTGAATTTTGTTTTGTATTTATTATGAATATTGAAAATGGAATTACTGAATTGAACGTTTGGGTTACTCAAAACAGAAGTTTGTGTTATTACCTACTTTCTAGGATTTTAATTATTGATGTCGAATTTTGAAAAGAAAATCGCATGAAAAGTGTCAGGTGTCAAGTAAAAGCAGGTAACAAAGATTTTGGGTGTAATCGACTTATTCACATGAAATAAAATTGTGTTTTTTTATTATAAAATGCCAGTAGAAAAAATCTTGTATACAATACGTTACGAAATGATGTCTTTTAGTCACTCGACGTGTTGTCCAACTCGGCTTTGCCTCGTTGGACAATTTTCACGTCGCGTGCCTAAAAGACGCTCATTTCGTAACTTATTGTATAAATAGCTATTTGCTGTCGCTGGGGTTGCCAAGCAGCATAGAAATTAAACTTCTACCACCTCAACAGGTGTTAACCCGCTAGATTTACCTAGCAGCATAGATTAAATTTCTAACATCTTGACAGGGGTTAACAAAGTGACGTTTTTTTGACGTTTGGAGAAAAAAGCTGTTAGGATCCAATCTTATATTGTCCTCTATATTCTTTATACAGTGACCGCCAAAAATATTTTATTATTAGGAAATCAAAAAAAATGTTACGTGGGATCGATTCAGCATACCCATCAACAAAAAAGGCGCTTTCTTTTATTCAGCGGTGGATCCATCAGTAATCAGCCTTTCTTTGTCTAGCTCATAGAAAATAGGAATGTCTGTCTTATATAGTGATGGCAGCAGATGGATCCATTGCTGAATAAAAGAACGCGCCCAAAAAATCACTGTGACAGATGTCATGTGACCACAGTCATGGCGGCAAATTTAAAAAGTTTGCCTCAAATATGTAAGATGACCAGAAATCGAAAAATTGTACCGAGAAAAGTGGTTCAGTATCCGATTTTACGTCCATGTGTCAATTTTTAAAAAAATACAAGGATTTTTAATAAATATCAGTTTTTCTGCGATTGGCAAGAAATGTCAGCATTTTTGACCGGTTGACAGGTCGCAAAACTCAATATTCTGGTATTTCAATTATGTTTCAATAGTTGCTAAGGAATCAATGAATAACAATACGGGAAACACTTTTCCGTCCTAGGCCGGGAAAGTGATTCTCGTATTGCTGAATAATTCGAACTAAAAGACAAACATTTAAAAGGTATTTAACCGATCGCAGAAAAAATAGTAAGTGTATTTCGGTGGAAAAGCACATTCTCGGCCTTCGGTGTTTGCCGGCCTCGGCTACGCCTCGCCCGTCAACTTACACCGTCGGCCAAGAATGTGTCACTTTTCCACCTAAATACACAATATACTATTTTTGGCCTGTTTTCTGGTAATTTGAAAAATATCGAAAACATTTCGCAAAAATATTGGCCTAATTAAATTTAGATAAGAGGTATTGGATCTTTTAGAAAGATATCATGATAATTTTAAATTTGTTATTGTTAGTTCCACCTTGAATTATGTGAACCAGGCGGAAAGTTTTTGATATTTTTCAAATTACCAGAAAACAGGCCACAAAATTAATATTTTTTTAAAATCCTTGTACCCTTATGAAAGTTGACACATAGACGTAAAATCGAATTCTGAACCACTTTTCTCTCTATAATTTTTCGATTTCTGGTCATCTTACCCCACTTTTTACATATTTGAAGCGAACTTTTTAAATTTGCCCTAATGACTGTGATCACATGACATCTGTCACAATGATTTTTTTTGTTGATGGGTATGCTGAATCGATCCCACGTAATATATTTTTTTTTATATCTTAATAATAAAATGTTTTCCCATTTGTTGCAAACTTTTTGGCGGTCACTGTATACTCAGAAAACTCTCTATCGCAGTGGCGTATCCAGGGGGGGGCAAAGGGGGCAATTGCCCCCCCCCCCCCCAGAGCAATAATGTTTTATTTCTTAAAAATATCTCAAATAACAAAAAATA